AGAGAGAGAGAGAGAGAGAGAGAGAGAGAGAGAGAGAGAGAGAGAGAGAGAGAGAGAGAGAGAGAGATGGTTTTTAATTATTTTTTAATTATTTAAATAGATAAAGAATAAAAGAAAAAAATAAATACATAAGGGTTGTTAGGGCCAGGATCCTTACAATTTTCGGGATCCTCAAATATCCAGGATCCTCATCTACCTCAGGATTACGGCTAATTACCGTTATTATTTTTGTTAATATTTATAACGGTCATATTATGTCTATAACTAACACGTGTGCAGAAATAGTCAAGGGAAGACCAATTCTCAACGAAGAATCATATCAACTATGCTAAAGACCCGAAATACTTGGTCAAATAACGTTCATGACGCTGATCATAGAGGATCCAAGAAATATCAGACATCTTGTTGGCTAGTTTAGACTATAAATTGACACTTGTATTTTGCACACAAGGCACAGTTCTTTAGTCTAAGCTTACTCTACGAAATTATTTACTCATTCTTACTAAGAATTCACTGTAATCATCATTTTATATCAATAAAATCATCAAGGCAGGTGATCATTATCACCTCCCAAGGTTTTATGTCGGAGATCCTAGCAAGGATCAAGGGCTTTCCTTGTAAACCATTATGTCACTTTCTTTTACCATTTGCTATTACACAATTTGAACATCACAGCCTCTCATTCAATTTGGTTGATTAGTACTTGTGTAATTTTTTACCAAAACAATTTGGCGCCCACCGTGGGGCCGTGGTGTTCAAAATCCTCGAAAAAATCATGTCTACACAATTGATCCTCTCTCCGTCCTCTACTCCTTCCATTACAACCAAAAACCTACCACCTCCTCCGAGTGGGCTCCCTACTCAGAGGAAAACGCCTGACACTTCCAAGAAAAACACTCCCTCAATCGCTAATCTAGGAAGTTTGGGATCCTCATGGCTCCAGGATCCAACTGCCTCAGTCACTACTGTAGAGCTTTTCGCTATGATGAGGAAAATGACGCACCAGGTGACCCAACAACAGGAGGAGAATAGAGCACTACTCAAAGAAGTGGAGCGGATGAAGGCGGAATTTCAGAAATCCCAGGAAACAACGCCCACAAATCTTGAAACTTTGACAATTATCTTTTAATTGGACAAGCATGATCATTACCTTATGGAAAAACAAGTTTCGTAGTTCAAAAAACAGTTTGGGGTAATGATCCTGATCCAATTTCTAGCCCAAATTCGAAAATCTGCCCACTGGAGCACCAACTCGGCGAGTACATGAACTGGACCCGTCGAGTTGGTCATTTTACAAGGGGACTCAGCGAGTCACCCAGTGGACTCGGCGAGTTCACTGGGCAGAAGGTAGAAATTCGAATTTTTCACTTTGAAAATCAATATAACATCAAGTATAATAGAAAACAATCCTAGGCTTTGATACCACTGATGGGTTTTGAGCATCCTAACAATCTTAAGGTGCACATACAACCCTAAATGCTTTGGATCTATGTTTTCTCTAATTATACATCCAATTTGATTTTC